ATGATCAAAATCCATTATTGGCTTCAACACCGAGGGGAATAAAACAAAAGAAATTCATTTTTAATCCCTGAATTAATCTGCATGTCATTTCTGCCTATCATGAACAATAAAGGCTTAACATACACATATACACTTGATTTCCACTCGAATTATTAGACTTGCTCTATTGAGCTAATAGAAAAAATAAATAAATAAATAAATAATAACAATAATAATAACTAAAATTCTAAAATCTGATAAATTATCACAATACGTAAATTAAGACTCTAAAATACTAAAAGTTCATTTTTTATGGGTCTCAGTAAAATCAGTTATTGATGCTGTTGTTCTCATACCGTCTACTGCAAATTAGTTAAATAAAGAAAGATGGTACATTTTAAGCTGGGTGAAGATCTTTTCTGTGGTCGGATGATCATAGTTAACGGGTTAAGAATCAAAATTTTCAAAAAGGGAAAACTAAAAATATGATAAAAAAATTCAAATATCAAGATATCACTGAGAGTTAAAAGAAACGCAAAGCTTTTGCAAATTGTTTCTGGTTTCATCGTTTTACTCTTTTGGTGATACCATGAATTAACAAGTGTCTTAGCCAATTACTTTCTCTTTAGAGGGGTGTTTATTCTTATATACGTTATATCTTTTTCAGTCAGCTTCGCTTAAAGAGAAAATACCATTATATGAACAGATTTCATCAAAATATGCGAAGACGCACGAACGTACAAATTAAAGACTCGATTACTTTAAGTTTTAATATATTTTGCGAAACATTTGTTAATCTGAATGCAGACCTGTCAACTTTATATTACCACGTTCCTAATAGGTATGTCAAATATACAATTCAAACGCCATTTATTCGACATAAAAACCTTATGAGTCATGGCGGAAAAGAACACTTTTTGTGACGCAGTCAAAGTAAGGCACGTCGTCTCTATATTACAGCAGCAAGAAGAATGGTGAACTTGACGGAAGGCGGATACCTCACTGTGATGAAGACACTGCTTTCTGCAAACATACGTGTAGATAAAAACATTGCGATAGCAGCTGTAAATATTGTTCTCTCCATCACGGCATCTCTGGGCAACATTCTGATCCTGATTGCTCTTCGCAAAGTGACTTCTATTCATCCGCCGACAAAACTGTTGTTTCAATGTTAGGCCATCACTGATCTTGGCGTTGGTCTCATTTCCCAGCCACTCATAGCCACCCTGATGCTCCTGGTTCATAATATTGACATCAAAATTTGGAATGTCTTGTTTTCCTATCTATTCTGGCCTTTATCCATTGCCTTTTGTGGAGTATCGGTTTTCACATCAACTGCCCTGAGTGTGGATAGACTTCTCGCCTTGTTTTTGGGGTTGAGGTACAGACACGTTGTAACACTGAAGCGAATTCGTGCAGTTCTTGCCTGTGGTTGTTTAGCCCTTCTATTGATCATGTCGGTTTGGTATTTTCACGCAAAAACCGCCAGGATTACAATGCCAATTTTCTGGACACTTTGTCTCATTATCTCGCTGTTCTCGTACACGAAGATCGTCTTTAGACTTCGTCAACATCAGTTCAGTGTACGAGACAATGCCCAGCAAGGACAAGCGAACACAGGAGCAATTTCATTGAACTTAGAACGATATAAAAAAACTGTTGTAAGCGTAGCATTAGTGCAGCTGGCATTATTTATATGCTATTTTCCTTCTAGTACTGTCTTTATTTTGATTCATTTGAAGGGTATTCACCCTAGTATTGATTTTATATTATTAGGTTATTGTGTAATTCTGGTTTTCCTAAACTCGTCTTTGAATCCGTTTCTGTACTGCTGGAGGATCAAAGAAATACGACAAGCAGTGAAAGCGACAATCAGAAGAGTTTGCACCTGTTTAAGTCAAGGAACATCCACTGTATCTACGAATCAGTAAAAATTGTTGTGTACGTGACAGCAGCTCATCCTCTCTTGGTAATAGCAGTGTCAACTGAAAACCAATAACTGAAGCCAGTAACTTGAAAAAAAATCAATAAAAACCACCTTTCTTTAAAGGTTTATCGATATTTGAGATAAAAAGATAATAAATAAAAAGTAACTTTTCCCCATGTTTTAGCCATCAGAAACATATTCCTCGTATTAAAAATATGGGCCCATTTTATCAAAAGTGGTGTTTTTCAAACTTTTGGTTTCTTTACTGCTTAACGTTAATCTGGTTTATTATGAATTTGTGTTGGATTTCATTTTATTAACCCTATTCAGACCCTCCCCCACCCCCTCGAAGTTGAATAACTTCAAAACCGTTCAAGTTATGACCACCAAACTTAACAACTTTTCCTAGAATTGATCTGGACTGGATAATAGGCTCGAAATATGATAAGGAGGGAAACAAACCAATGTGTAAATTAGAAAGTACTCAATTCAATAACGTGTACTTAGTGGTTCTGTGCTTTCCTGATTCCTAGTCGAATTGGAATTTAAAGCAACCTCGTCCCCAGAGCTCTTTTCCTTGGCTTTGGAGGTTGTTTGTAAGAAGCGGGGAAAACCGGAGTACCCGACGAAAAACCTGGGAGCAAAAGAGAAAACCGATAACAAATTTAACCGACCCGTACATGGCGTCGACGCCAGGATTTGAACCCGGGCCACATTGGTTGGAAGTGAGTGCTTTCACAACTCTCACCACCCATACCCCTCCCATAAAATGGCGATGGATTTAGAACCTGCCCAACTATAAGATAGGTCGCATTTTATGGTAAACATCGATCGGAAAAGCAAAATGATAAATAAAATAAGAATTTGTCGATGTGATAAGGTTGGTCCGTTGGTCTAGTTGAGGGATTCTCGCTTATGGTGCGAGAGGTCCCGGGTTCTACTCCAGGACAAGCCCCAACCTATTCACCATTTTCACATAGACCAACTTGTTTAGCCCTCAAAATGTTGCATAACCCTTTTTCTTCGATTTCTCTTGGGACGACCGCAATACCCAGGAAAAATTGGAAACAACAGTTATGCAAAATTTCGGTGGTTAAACAAGGTGCATCATGGGCCATGTGAATAATTCACCACTTTATTTTCGGTTTTTTTTAATCTTTATTTTTTCTATCACTCTTCCTGCCGTAAGGATCAGTTTACTGTTTAACGTTTAAAACTTGGTATGTGAAAATAGCGAATTGTGAATTTAATTTTCAGGCGTTCACCTTTTTTTGTGGCTCGGGGGCTGCCTCTTCCTCTGGCACTTCGTTTTTCGTAAAGTGGCGAGCGAGAAAGGCGAGTAACACGCGAGTGACTGGTGACGAGACGTAAGGGACCATGGGAAGGAGAAAAACGAGAAGCCCGATTTCTACTCCCCGCCCTCCTTTGCGCCCAAAGTTTTATCGAGAGAGAGACGTATGGGTACGAGGCTGGCTCGAAGGTTTTTGGTTTTAAGTGGCTACACTAGATTTTTTATTGGCCTGAACCTTCCAATGTTAAGCCATATAACTACGTTGCCTATTAAAAGATATAGAAAACAAGAAGTCAACACAGCTTCATCCGAAAAAAGATACTAAAATTTGTTATTTGCAGTATAGACTGCGAGCAGTCTCTTTTTTTCTTTAGATTTATTGAGGGAAGTGTCTCTCCCGTTTCGCGCCTTCAGTCACGCGCGTGGTCATTTGCGTCTCTTGCCCGTTTTGCTCGACGAGCCGATGCCCGCAGTCTGTTTGCTGTAAAAGATCAAAATCTCTGTGGCAAAATCCGTTAAGTTATAAAAGAAGGGTCGATCGATGGTTAGTCTTTGCCGCCTCAATGGCATGGGTCCCTAAAATCTGCAGTCTACCTAAAGCTGCTGAAACTCAGGAATTTACGGCTTCTCCCAATAGTTACATGTATATAAACACCGTAGACCTGCACCGCTCTAAACCGCTTATTTCACTGGTCCCCTTTAATCTGCACTTCCATTGTTTTCAGGGACAGGGGCATTATTATGTGACAATCCCCATTGTTTTCCTAGCTAATTAAAAACAATCTTTCAAATAGTTACGGGATCGTCCTATAAACAACGCTAAGTAAAACAACAAGCTTGCATGCAAACCAGATTCTTGTTCTAGATAACGAGGGAGTTAAATACAACCAGAAAGTACCAGTCACTTGTCTGAAGTTATTAAAAACTCATTTGTGTCCTAAAAGCGAAGAAAAACAGAACAGAGAACTTTCAGGGCAAGAACTCTACGTATACCATTTGCGGTAGAGAACTGTAAAGTACTATGCTGAGATTGTACGTCAACCAAAACTGTTTGTTGATTTAGACTTCCTACAATTCCTTACTTGGAAAAGCGCTAACAGCAAGAAGCTGTTTCCGTTGAGGTTTGGCGTGAAAGCGTTTCACCGTTTCGGTATGCGGGTACATTTTCTCCTTCACAACTTATCAATCGGATTCATCCAATCCGGTGAGCTTCCGTGATTTTGAAAACACTTTTAAGACCACATGCACGCACCCTGAGTGCTTCCGATCCTTATCGACCAATCCCAGTAAAATGAGAGTTTGGTGGCTGACAGTCTTTCACGGCTACGCTGCTCCTTTTTCTTTGAGCTTTTTCCCAGTCCCTTGGGTTTAAGTTCGTTTCGATTGAAACTGAAAATAATAATTATTTTTTAAATATCTTTGTTTATATTTACTGTGACTTTTTGACAATTTTTTGCCTTGATATATAATGTATACTTACTGATTACGTCCTTACGACCTTGGCGTTTGGGCGCCATCAGTTCAAGCCAAAACGTGACGTCACCACACGAAGAGACCCACCCCTCAGCGTTTTTGGCGAAATTTGTGTCGACAGCCAGCGCCTCGAGTCTGCCGACTGAGCTAACGGACCTTGGCGTTATCAGCACCGCGCTCTGCCGACTGAGCTAACGGACCAAGCTCACGCCGTTTAGAAATTTTGACCAGTAACTATATAATCCACTGATTGAAATTCAAATGAAATGCACTTTAAGAATAATTGTATTCTAAAATTCGGTCAAAATCTTCTAATAGGCTCAACTCTTTTTCGGTTGTTTAGATATGGCATTGGAGCTTAGAATGAACAACGTCGGTGACGGCTACCTGCAAAGTTGTTGTTTTGCTAATATAAACCAATTGGTTTTTTGCCGTTCTCGTTGCCGTCGCCGTCGTCGTTGCCTAAGCTCCCTTTTCTTTTACTGCGTGGGGAAGAGGGTGGAAGAGAAACGGAGTTTGGGCTTTCTTGTGGCTGTATTTTACAAATCCTTTTTTGACCAAGCTTGTTCGATCGAGATGCTTGGATGTTGGCCTCGTTCTTTTTTGCGTTTTTATTGTCCTCGACTGTGTTTGTCTCGCTCCATAAAAATGCAATAAAAGATTTGCCACTATAATTCAGCCATCTTGACCTCACGCTTGTTCAATAATGCATGCGCATGTGGCAGCTTAACTCTCAGCAAAATAACATGTTTACTAAAACAGGTTTACCAACAAAAATTGTTCAAAAATGCCTTTTTTGTATAGGGTCCAAGTATTTATATGGATTTTCCTTTGTACCAATTTCTAGTCAACTAGACTGAAAAATTTGACATTGTTAGATCGTTTTTAACAAGAGAGCTTTGATGCGTAAATGTAAAACTAGAGAGCCAATCCGCCGTCGTGTTTCATCAAACGTAGGCAATTTCAAAAAAGAACGGCGCTTAACGAAAAATAAAAAAAGAGAAATTTAATTGGTTTTTCACCCGAAGCGACGGCCGCAAATGCAGTACATCTATGTTCGCACTGGAGAGATCTAGGGATGGTAGAGCTTTTACATCTTGGTTCACGTGACCTATCTCATGCCAAAATTTATGGACACAAGTTTAAAAAAATATATATAGATGGAAAGAGAATTGAAAATATCATAGGCCTATCAATTTTTAGGGTTTTCATTTCTCAACAGCGAGACTTACTGACGGTTTAAATAATGAATAAATACAATCTGTACCAGGGGAAACACCGCTCACGCGTGCGCCTTAATTGCAAACTAGAAAATAGGAAATTTGCATATGTCACCTCTTGAGTGCAAATCAACGCCTTCCCCGCAGCATTTTCTCTTATTACGTAGTGTAACTCATCTAAAAAACTTATTCCTGATCACTTATAGTTTTTACGTTTATTTCTTTTAAGCGCGTAGTTGAATTTAACATCATAGCGCATGTAGTTCATCTAACAAATAGATGGTTTTCCAATTTCTTAAGATCTCTTAATAACTTCCTGTTTAGCTGGTATTGTTCCCAAATTAGAATGTTGGGCAAGGTCGTGGACCCAGTAAGGTCAGTAAGGAAGCAATTAATTGAGGGAAATTAAGGTCTGTAACCTGACAAAATGTTATCGAAGCAATTCGAGGAATATCAATAGAATACAGTTGAATAGAATACAGTTGACCCCCGATAACTCACTGCAAACTTTATAAATTAAGAGTGTATCAAGAGCAGCTGGTCATACCTTCCTTCCTTAGACGAAGATAAGACGTTTCACTGACGTTTGCGCCTCCATGATTTAAACTCGAAAACAATGACAAGTTCTGAAGAAGTGAACATCACAACCACGCTGACCCAAGTAATCCCACTGCAAACAGACGTGGCCGTATTTCTGTCAGCTTTGAACATCTTTCTTGCTATCACAGCTTCCCTTGGCAATGCCTTGATCCTGAATGTTCTCCCCAAAACTTCTCTTCACTCACCAACAAAACTGCTAATTGGAAACTTAGCGGTGACTGATCTCTGCGTTGGACTTATATCGCAGCCTCTTTTCGTAACAATTCGGCTTAGCGCCATTATAAAGATGGACTTAGATATCCAGTACTACCTTATGAACATTGCAAATGCCTTCGATTTCATTTTGTGTGGAGTTTCCATCCTCACCTTAAGTGCAATAAGTGTCGATAGACTTCTTGCTCTTTTGCTGGGAATAAGATACAGAACGATTGTAAATTTAAAGCACACTCGAGCTCTTCTGTCATGTTTTTGGTTAAGTGGGATTTCTGGTGTATTACTGAGCTTGTTCACGAGCTTTAGCGTCGCTTCTATAGTAGGCGTCATTTTTGTAATCATTTCTACAGTCATCTCGATTTTTTGTTACACGAAGATCTTTATGACACTCAGACAAAACGAAACTCAAGTACAAAACCTAGGCCAGAGACGAATGGGAATGCCACCTAATATAGGGAGATACAAAAAGACAGTTTGGAGCATTGCTTGGGTGCAGTTGGCATTAATCGCATGTTATATTCCTTTTATTATCTGTGCTATAGTGATGAAGATAAAGGATTCGAGTAGTACAACAGCGAACACTATTTGGATATTTACATTCAGTCTGATTTACGTAAACTCTTCATTGAACCCAATTCTCTACTGTTGGCGGATCAAAGACGCGAGACAAGAAGTGAAGGCCACGATCAGAAGGTTTTGTTGCCGCTCAAGTTAAGTTGGACAGATAGAACGACAGTATTTTAAAGTGGCTATGTCACGAGGATATTGCTGTTTTAGATCAGTTCTGTGCTGATCTTATCACTAAGTGCCTTTAACCATATCCAAAATGTTCCATTAGAGCCGGATTTAATTTGAAGATGTCAAATATATTTCATTGGGAAGCACTAACCATATAAAATATTTATTTGAATAACCGCCCTTGGCGCTTAATAATCTTTAATTTGGACCATGAGAGTGGGCGCTTATTCGAAGTGGGCGTTTATTCAAGGCTGTGCGCTTATTAAATTTTCACCGTTTTCAGCAAGCGTAGTATGTTTATTTTGCAACAAAACAATAAATGGTAATAACGAAACGCGAAGATGTAACAAAGCAAGGTTTCTGTAAACTTCCCCTACTCTGAAGAAAACTCCGTCTTCGGGGAAGTCTCTTTATATTAGTACTTATTCAATTTCAATCTCATGGCACCCAAGTGGTTGGGGTGAGGCTGGGCGATCGAGGCTGGCCGCTTGTTAACTTTTTCTGCCTTTAGGATGGGTGCTTATTCGAGGTGGGCGCTAATTCGAGGTTGGGCGCTTTTTCGAATAAATACGGTAGTTGTTTGGTTAGCCTGTACACAGATGTTTTCCTTTCTTTTCGTTCATTTCGAGTAGGGCAAAATGTTGGCTTAGGGGAAGGGTGGGTGGGCAGTTTCCCAGAAACGTAAAATGATCCACAGTGGATTAGTTTCAATGCCTAAATATAGACTTAAATAAGAAAACTGGGCTATTATTTTGGAATAAAAATGATGCGAAGGCACGTTTAGGCTTAAAGATAGCGAATAGCGTGATTTATGCCCTTTAAAAAGACGTGTATGGTTGAAATAAAACGTTATGTAATATCAGATATCCCCTAAATCTAGTATCAAGGTCATTGTGAGGGTTTCCAGTATAATATTCAATAGCTTTTTAAATTCTCTCTTTACGCACCGTTTAAAAACGAGCAGGAGTGTATTATCAGGTTTAAAAACTACGACTGCGAATTTTCTTTTTTTTTTTTTTTTTTTTTTTTTTTACGGTGAGCGGCTTCATAATCTCTATAGGTCAACTCATTCTTGCACTAATTATTAGATTTGGGTTATTTCGGTCTAAAAACAAAACGTTAAAGTGAAGCCGGTACATTCAGTTGTCCACTTTATCAGATATACTACACTCATAAACATTAATTTCTTCATTTTTTTTATGAATCATTAAAAAATGAGTTTTTATCTAGTTTTTGAACTAGTTATAAAGCATCATAAAACAAACCTATTAAATTCAAAACGGACGCGTATATCTAAAATATTAGACACTAGCTTTAAATTAAAGACGAGAGCGGTCAACGAAAAAAATACCGGAGAAGGTGCATTGAATTTTAAAAGGCTAATATCTAAACAATTTAAATTGGCAAAGGACTTTGCAATGTCATCAACATCTGCTACTTTATTTGCTGTTTTGAAGGAACCTGGGAATCAGGTTGCGAACATCACATTCCTGGGCGTTCCAAATATGACCATCAGTGAATTTCATGCTTTCGTATATCTATATCTTTCTATTTGTCTCCATGCTTATTGTTGTTATTGTTACACTCCGTGGGTTCAGCGAATAAAACGTTCTGCGATAATGACAAGTTTCTACTGTTTTTCTTCCGATACAAACTCGTCCGATCTGCTCTCACGCTCCACAAGCCCAAATATGGCAGCCCCATACTTAGAAAGCAGCATGCATATATGCAGCATCACACTACACAATGTCACGCAATGACCCATTACACTGCCCCCCTCCAAGACGAATTATTCGTCTCGAATAATAGTGATTTATAACAACAACAAACATAGGTGTCTAAACTGTTCGAGTGTTCCGAAAACAAACATTTTAACTTCATGCTCACCGAGATATGATAATTTAGTATGAGAAAATAGAAGGGATTCCCGTAACGGATAAAAAAGATAAAAAGAGAAGTAATTAGTTGGTTTAATTATTGGCTTGTATTAAATCTATGTAAAAATGATATTTTTTTTCAATAGTAAGTAGATTTACTGTGAAGCATTTCTTGATTTTTTTGCAAAGGCAGAAGAAGCACGAGAATTGATTAAAAATCGTGAGTTAAACCTCTATGTATCACTCGATCGCTTGTCTCACCGTACCAAAATTATCATATCCCGGCGAGCATTCGGAAGTCAGCCAAGCGCGGTCATTGCACGCGTGCTGAACAAGAACGTTGTATCATGACAGACTAGAAACAATAGAAAACTCCCAAAGCACAAACTCAGCCAAAACGCTAAAAATCTTCAATGTTTTCTCACGTTTGGGCTTACAGAAGATAATGTCACAGTCTTTCAACGACCATGAAATTCACAACCGGGGTAGTTAGTTAATCAATTGTGGCCCTAAAAAAAATTGAGGAAAAAAAAAACAACGAATTTTTAGAAAAATGCTTTTTCCGTGAGAAAGACTCTTAAACTCTGACAAACGTCAACAAATTATAGCTAAAAGTAATTTATATATGTTTGCATTGTTCGAAATCGCGCGCATTTACCACGGCCCTAACTCTCTGTCATAAAGATCCCCAAAATAAAGGGATAAATCTCATAGTTTATTACATATAATCATGTGAAGTTTGCTTATCACTTTCAAATAATTTAGGACATTTTATGACCTAAATTTTGAAACCGCTGAATTTCTCGTATTGGGTCTTTGCGATTTTGGTGAAACTCTGTTTAACGCAAGGCACTAATTCGCACTATATGTATGTAGCCTGTTCCAGGCGTTCAGATGATGGGGAGCGGGCGAAAAATTGACGTTTCTTTTTGCGCTCGCCGCGTACGATTTAACTTGCTCCCCACTATCTAAACACCTGGGACAGGCTACACTATATGTAGCCGAGAAAATGCCGGCAACAACAGAATTTCGACTCAGACCCTAAAGAGGAGTGGCACTATATTCACGTGACATTTACTTCGATCGCCAACAATTTTATGTTGTATTGTAAATTAATCTATATGTTATCCATGCTATATGTTAGACTTATTACGATCAAAGGAAAGGTGGGGATACCAGAGAGCTTCAAAGTAGGATGGTACCCCCAAAAACTGGGTCGAGTCACCTTAATTGAAAACTAGGAAATAGAAAATTTGCATATGGTCACCTATTCAGTCAAAATAAACGCCCGCCCCGCAGCTAAGCATTTTCTCTTATTATAGCGTAACTGATCTAACAAATCTTTTCCTGATCACTTGTCGGTTTTTACGTTTATATTTTCCTAAGCGCGTTGTTGAATTTATCATCATAGCGCGAACAGAGTCGAGGATTCATATAGACTTCAAACAAGCCTGCGAAGTAGGTCATCTATCAAACAGATGGTACTCGTAATTTTAAAAGCAATTTCTTAAGATCTCTTAATAACTTCCTTTTCAGCTGGTATTTCGATGATATTGTTCCCGGGGCAAGGTTGTGCGCCAAATAATTAAAGCAAGCAATTAATTAAGGGACATTAAGGTCTGTAACCTGACAAAATGTTATCGAAGTAATTCCAGATATGTCGGCGTCTGACATATAATGTTCTAAAATGTTCTGCAATTGGTGTAGGATTTAATGAAGCCGAAACCAATTGTGGAATTGCACGCATTTTAGGCATCCTACTGATGAACAGTTACGAAAAATACATATATTTTTTAGCAACTACTATAATTTGCAGTCTGTCCACTTTGAATATAATCTTCACTTTGAATAGACACAGTTGACTCCCGAGAACTCGAACCTCCCACTAACTCGAAGGAATTTTTACTTTCCTTCTGGACATCTCTACATCATTTTACCCTCGATGACTCGAACTATGTTAGTAGTGGTAGAGGGTCAGAATTAACCCCCGTTGGTGGATAGGTAAGGATAGTTTAGGGATAGTCTATGACGTCACCCATTGTCATAACCTAGGGAAAAAATGCCTTCCTCCATACTATGAATAACTGTCTTCCTGCATACTAATTCGGTATAGGTTTACTGATGAGCGAATACTACAATAGGAACAATAGGCTTGCCTAGGCTTCCCGTTAAGTAACTTGAGCCTGGTTTGAACGTCTATTAAAAGGCAAAAATAGGAATAAGAGAAGCGATCACCTAACAACGCGAGAAACGGCTTACGATATCTTATTTAGCGCTAAAACTCGGATATTAATAAACAAAACACATACACCAAGTAGAACTGAAAACTCTCTATTTCAATGTTGTCTGACGTTTTCTCCTATCTATCTCAAGGAAATGAAAAACTATTACAGTCTCAGCGTTTCACGCACCGTTATTTCCATTCCTTACAAACCGCTGTGTATTTGACTCTTTTTGTCATTGTTTTTAATAAAGTTTTAAAAACGGTATCTCTCTTGTGGTTTTATTACTAGCAATTATTAGTCGCGTGTTTTAATCGATCCTTGTTAAGTTATTCAAAATTGTTTATATAATGACACGTCAAGGTGTTCCCTTGGGTCTTTCCTGTAGAGCTAATCTGTATTCAACTTTGGGCTTGCAAACTCGCATAATTAACTGACTAACGGTGCGTGAAACGCTGAGACTGTAATAGTTTTTCATTTCCTCAAGATAGATAGGAGAAAACGTCAGACAAAATTGAAAAAGAGAGTTTTCAGTTCTACTTCGTGTATGTGTTTTGTTTATAACTTCCTTTTCAACTGGGATTTCGATGATATTGTTCCCAGGGCAAGGACGTGCGCCAAATAATTAACGCAAGCAATTAATTGAGGGAAATTAAGGTCTGTAACCTGACAAAATGTTATTGAAGCAATTCCAGATATGTCGGCGTCTGACATATAATGTTCTAAAATTGGTATTGGATTTAATGGAGCCGAAACCAATTGTGGAAACGCACACATTTTAGGTATCCTACTGATGAACAGTTACGACACGTAGATATTAATATTTTTAGCAATTACTATAATTTAAAGTCTGTCCACTTTAAATATTCATCTTCACTTTGAATAGAATATATACAGTTGACTCCCACTAACTCGAAGTAATTTTTACTTCCCTTCAGGACATTTCTACATCGTTAAATACCCTCGATGTCTCGAACTATGTTTTAAGTGCCACTTGTAAACAAACTTTACTTCATCCATACTTTTACATAAATTATGACCTAAATTTGCAAACCACTGAAGTTCTCGTATTGGGTCTTTGCGATTTTGGTGAAACTCTGTTGAACACAAGGCACGAATGCGCATTATATGTAGCCGAGAGATTTTCTCGAAACAATGCCGGCAACAGCAGAATTTCGACTCAGACTCCAAAGAGGCGTGGCACTATAACCACGTGATATTTACTCCCATCGCCAAAAATTTTATGCTATGTTGTAGATTGATCTATACGTTATCCATGCTATATGTTAGACTTAGGATCAAGGTAAACGAGGGGATACCAGAGAGTTTCAAAGTAGGATGGTACCCTCACAAAATAACTGGGTCGAGTCACCTTAATTGAAATTAGGAAATAGGAAATTTGCATATGGTCACCTTTTCAGAACAAATCAACGCCCGCCCTGTAGCTAAGCATTTTCTTCTTATTATAGCGTAACTGATCTAACAAACCTATTCCTGATCAGTTATAATTTTTACGTGTATTTTTTCCTAAGCGCGTTGTTGAATTTATCATCATAGCGCGAACAGAGAAGTCGACGATTCATAGACTTTATTAAACAAGCCTGCCAAGTAGGTCATCTATCAAACAGATGGTTCTCGTAATTTTAAAAGCAATTTCTTAAGATCTCTTAATAACTTCCTTTTCAGCTGATATTTCGATGATATTGTTCCCGGGTCAAGGTTATGCGCCAAATAATTAAAGCAAGCAATTAAGTAAGGGAAATTATGGTCTGTAACTTGACAAAATGTTATCGAAACAATTCCAGGAATACGTCGGCGTCTGACATATAATGTCCTAAAATGTTCTGCAATTGGTATTAAGATTTTAGGTATCCTACTGATGAACAGTTACGACAAATACATATTATTTTTAGCAACTACTGTAATTTGAAGTCTGTCCACTTTGAATATAATCTTCACTTTGAATAGACACAGTTGACTCCCGAGAACTCGAACCTCCCACTAACTCGAAGTAATTTTTACTTCCCTTCTGGACATCTCTACATCATTTTACCCTCGATGACTCGAACTATGTTAAAATAGTGATAGAGGGTAAGAATTAACCCCCGTTGGGGGATAGGTAAGGATAGTTTAGGGATAGTCTAAGACGTCACCCATTGTCATAACCTAGGGAAAAAATGCCTTCCTCCATACTAATTTGGTATAGGTTTACTGATGAGCGAATACTACAATAGGAACAATAGGCCTGCCTAGGCTTCCCGTTAAGTAACTTGAGCCTGGTTTCAACGTCTATTAAAAGGCAAAAATAGGAATAAGAGAAGCGATCACCTAGCAACGCGAGAAACGGCTTACTATATCTTATTTAGCGCTAAAACTCGGATATAAATAAACAAAACACGTACAAAAAGTAGAACTGAAAACTCTCTATATCAATGTTGTCTGACGTTTTCTCCTATCTATCTCGAGGAATAAAAAACTATTACAGTCTCAGCGTTTCACGCACCGTTATTTCCATTCCTTATAAATCGCTGTGTATTTGTTGACTCTTTTTGTCATTGTTTTTAATAAAGTTTTAAAAACGGTATCTCTCTTGTGGTTTTATTGCTAGTAATTATTAGTCGCGTGTTTTACTCGATCCTTGTTAAGTTATTTAAAATTGTTTATATAATAATACGTCAAGGTGTTCCCTTGGGTCTTTCCTGTAGAGCTAATTTGTATTCAACTTTGGGCTTGTGAACTCGCATAATTAACTGACTAACGGTGCGTGAAACGCTGAGACTGTAATAGTTTTTCATTTCCTCGAGATAGATAGGAGAAACCGTCAGACAAAATTGAAATAGAGAGTTTTCAGTTCTACTTCGTGTATGTGTTTTGTTTATAACTTCCTTTTCAACTGGGATTTCGATGATATTGTTCCCAGGGCAAGGACGTGCGCCAAATAATTAACGCAAGCAATTAATTGAGGGAAATTAAGGTCTGTAACCTGACAAAATGTTATTGAAGCAATTCCAGATATGTCGGCATCTGACATATAATGTTCTAAAATGTTCTGCAATTGGTGTAGGATTTAATGGAGCCGAAACCAATTGTGGAAACGCACACATTTTAGGTATCCTACTGATGAACAGTTACGACACGTAGATATTAATATTTTTAGCAACTACTATAATTTAAAGTCTGTCCACTTTAAATATAATCTTCACTTTGAATAGAATACCGTTGACTCCCGATAACTCGAACCTCCCACTAACTCGAAGTAATTCTTACTTCCCTTCAGGACAGTTCTACATCATTTTACCCTCGATGTTTCAAACTATGTTTTAAGTCTCACTTGTAAACAAACTTTACTTCATCCATACTTTTACATAAATAATGACCTAAATTTGCAAACCGCTGAATTTCTCGCCTTGGGTCTTTGCGATTTTGGTGAAAATCTGTTGAACACAAGGCACGAATGCGCACTATATGTAGCCGAGAGATTTTCACGAAAAAATGCCGGCAACAGCAGAATTTCGACTCAGACCCCAAAGAGGGGTGGCACTATAACCAAGTGATATTTACTCCCATCGCCAAAAATTTTATGCTATGTTGTAGATTGATCTATACGTTATCCATGCTATATGTTAGACTTAGGATCAAAGTAAACGAGGGGATACCAGAGAGTTTCAAAGTAGGATGGTACCCCAACAAAATAACTGGGTCGAGTCACCTTAATTGCAAATTAGGAAATAGGAAATTTGCATATGGTCACCTTTTCAGAACAAATCAACGCCCTGCAGCTAAGCATTTTCTTCTTATTATAGCGTAACTGATCTAACAAACCTATTCCTGATCAGTTATAATTTTTACGTGTATTTTTTCCTAAGCGCGTTGTTGAATTTATCATCATAGCGCGAACAGAGAAGTCGACGATTCATAGACTTTATTAAACAAGCCTGCCAAGTAGGTCATCTATCAAACAGATGGTTCTCGTAATTCTAAAAGCAATTTCTTAAGATCTCTTTATAACTTCCTTTTCAGCTGGTATTTCGATGGTATTGTTCCCAGTGCAAAGTCCTGCGCCAAATAAGCAAGCAATAAATTGAGGGAAATGAAGGTTTGTAACCTGACAAAATGTTATCGAAGCAATTCCAGATATGTCGGCGCCTGACATATAATGTTCTAAAATGTTCTGCAATTGGTATAGGATTTAATGGGACCGAAACCAATTGTGGAATTGCACACATTTTAGGTATCCTACTGATGAACAGTTACGACACGTAGATATTAATATTTTTAGCAACTACTAGAATTTGAAGTCTGTCCACTTTGAATATAATCTTCACTTTGAATCGAGACACTGTTCAACTCCCGAGAACTCGAACCTCCCACTAACTAGAAGTAATTTTTACTTCCTTTCTGGACATCTCTACATCATTTTACCCTCGATGACTCGAACTATGTTTTAAGTGCCACTTTAAAACCAACTTTCACCTCATCCAAGTGAAATGACAAAGAATTTTCCCTTATCGGTGTTTTGTCATGGAATTTGAAGAGTTCCTCTTAAAAAATGATACGCATTTAACAATGCAAAAAAAATTGAAAACTTTGTTCACGAATTTGTGATGTTCTCACGGTGCACGTTTTCAGAAAAAATAATAAATAAAAATAACCTCTCAATTTTCAGATGAGTTCTCCCTAATTGAACATATTGACTTATGGGGTAAATTGACTGAAAACATATAACGTTTGCTCAACTAAAACTACGCTCCCCGAAGTGGTAATATGTTGCAACTCGTAACTAATTTATAAATTGGTTGGAGTTTAACGAAACATTCGTTAATATAATTGTACACCTGTCAACTTACTTTATGTTTGTTACCACACGTTTCTGATAGGTTGTGTTAAATAAAAAAACGCAATTTATACAACATAAAAACCTTGTGTGTCATAGCGGAAAAGAACACTTTTTGTGAAGCAGTCAAAGTAAGGCATCTCGTCTCCAAAGCAAGAAAAATGGTGAACTCGACGGAAGGCGGAAACGTCACTGTGATGAAGACACTGCTTTCTGCAAACATACGTAGAGAGATCATTGCAATAGCATCTGCTAATATTCTTTTCTGCATCACGGCATCTCTGGGCAACATTCTGATCCTGATTGCTCTTCGTAAAGCGACTTCTATTCATCCGCCGACAAAACTGTTGTTTCAATGCCTGGCAATCACTGATCTTGGCGTTGGTCTTATTTCCCAGCCACTCATGGTCACCCTGATGCTCCTGGCTTATAACATTGACATCAAAATTTGGTATGTGTGTTACTATCTATTCTGGTCTTTATCCACTACTTTTTGTGGAGTATCGGTGTTTGCATCAACTGCCCTGAGTGTTGACAGACTTCTCGCCCTGTTTTCGGGATTAAGGTACAGACAAGTTGTAACTCTGAAGCGAGTTCGTGCAGTTCTTGCCAGTGGTTGTTTAACCGCTCTTTTGACTGTGTTGGTTTGGTATTTTCGGGCAGAAAGCGCCAGGAGTATAAACATAATTTTCTCTACACTTTCTCTCATTATCTCGTTGTTCTCTTACACGAAGATCGTCCTTAGACTTAGGCAACATCAGTCCAGTGTACGAGACAATGTCCAGCAAGGACATGCGAACAAAGGAGGAATTCCACTGAACTTTGAACGATATAAGAGGACTGTTGTAAGCATAGCTTTGGTGCAGCTGGCATTAATTGCATGCTATCTCCCATTTGTTATCTGTCATATATTATATGACCTGAATAGATTTCCCTCTCGCTTTAACTTTCTTTTGGATGTTACTGTAACTCTCCTTTTCATAAACTCGTCTTTAAACCCGTTTCTGTACTGCTGGAGGATAAAAGAAATAAGACAAGCAGTGAAAGCCACAATCAAAAGGTTTTGCTCCTGTCCAAGTCGAGGAACATCGACTCTATCATGTACGAATCAGTAAAATATTGGATGTGTAGCAGCAGCTCATTCTGTCTTGAAAAAGTAGTGTCAAAAACCAATAACTGAAGCTAATAGCTTGAAAGATGGCTAAAAATCAATAAAAACAATCATGCTTTAAAGGTTTATCGATATTTGAGAAAAATGATAATAAATAAAAAGTAACTTTTCACCATGTTTTAGCTATCAGCGTCATATTCCTCGTATTAAGAATATGTGCCCATTTTATCAAAAGTGGTGTTTTTTAAACGTTTGGTTTCTTTACTGCTTAACGTTAATCTGGGTTTTTTTGGATTTTGCTCTGGATTTCATTTTATTAACCCTATTCAGACCCTCCTCCCCTTGCTAAAAAGTTGAATAACTTCAAAACCGTTCAAGCTATGACCACCAAACCTCAGCGATTTTTCCTAAAATTTATCTGGACTGGATAATAGACTCGAAATTAAGATAAGGAGGGAAACAAACCAATGTGCACATTTGAAAGTATTCAATTCGATAACGTCTATACTTAGTGGTTCTTTGCTTATCTGATTCCTAGTCGAATGGGAATTTAAAACATCTTGTCCCCAAGGCCAGGCGCTTTTCCCTGGCTTTGGAGGTGGAGCACCCCACCTCCAAAGCCAGGGAAATTAACAAAGGGTTTTGCAATGTCATCAACGTCTGCTACTTTATTTGCTGTTTTGCCAGGTTGATAATAACTTCAAAACCGTTCAAGCTATGACCACCAAACCTCAGCGATTTTTCCTAAAATTTATCTGGACTGGATAATAGACTCGAAATTAAGATAAGGAGGGAAACAAACCAATGTGCACATTTGAAAGTATTCAATTCGATAACGTCTATACTTAGTGGTTCTTTGCTTATCTGATTCCTAGTCGAATGGGAATTTAAAACATCTTGTCCCCAAGGCCAGGCGCTTTTCCCTGGCTTTGGAGGTGGAGCACCCCACCTCCAAAGCCAGGGAAATTAACAAAGGGTTTTGCAATGTCATCAACATCTGCTACTTTATTTGCTGTTTTGCCATCTTTGCCGGCACTGATCTGAAAATTTGGGGCCGACATTTTGTTTTTGAGCTTAAGGTAGACCACGCAGCTACAAATTTTCTACCTTGAGTACGGTTATTTCGAGATTATGGCTGCAAATAAATGATTTTTAATTACCGCTTTGATCAAACAAAAGGTGGAGAGTTATGGCTGTGTTACCTTAAAATAGATTCTATGCGTTCTCTCGCATCTTGGCGGATTTTATTTTACTCTCCAGGGATGGGACATATACAAATACTAAAAAGAATTTCTACTTCTGACTGTCCCCTCCCTGGTCATGAACGAGCGAAGAAGACACGATTCCATCGCACTTTGTAATACCTGTCGCAATTTGTAATAAACCGTGTCGCACTTTGTAATAAAAAAGCTGTCGCAATTTGTAACAACCGTCCATCGCACTTTGTAATAAACTAACCTGTCGCAATTTGTAATAATTCCATCGCACGTTGTAATATTTTTTCGAGAGTGATTCATCTTACTCCGTCAACATTAATATAATGCCAAAATATGAATCAGGTACTTCATAAACGAAGGTGATGAAGTCTGCAAGCACGTAAATTACAAATTGCTTATATATAATTTACAACGTATCTCCGCTCATTCACGCCATTTAACTTTATTCACGGTCCTAAATATAATTTTTTTAAAATTAATGTTGATTAGTTATCTGACTTACGAAATTCTGTATCCTGAAACCTTGCTATTGTACTAGATGGTTCGCATGCAATGGTTACCCAGGGGGCGTACTCCCTTATTTGGCCAGTACGGGGATGTGCCACTGGACAGAGCATTGTCAGAGTACAGAATGTAGACACACAAGACACAAACTAGTCATTGTTAAAAGGCATTTAATTTCCACAAATCGTAACATCCATCTTTACATCATTTGAATAAGGACACCAGGAAAGTTCAAGCTTTCGTTTTTAGATCTTATAACAGGTCGACAAAACAGCGTCCTTGTCTAACGCGCAATCTTAAAAGAAGTAATAGCTGTTTCCATATTTTGGAAAACTTAATCGGACTAGGCCTGGAAAAATTCAAAATGTTAACTGCAAATAAACAAAAACGTCATCAGTGGCAAATCTTCGAACCACAACAGAAACATAAACACAAAATCCATTATGTATATATGTACGTGCTGTTTTTGTAAAACTCACTTGGGGTAATACACTGAGCCAGCTGGCCATTTGGTCCATTATTCTCTCGTGATTTGGTCCCATATAGGAACAAAGGAAGTACTCATTTTATCTTAAAACAATTTTTTTCTGTGGAGCCCTCTAATAAAGCAAATACCGTGTGCGTACAACTCGTAAGACCTTGCACTTCTTTCGAGCATGTTCAGGATTCAAACGTTTTTTGCACAAAATGGAAAGGATAATAAACCATCCATTACTACTTCAGTTACCCTATGTAAGTATCAACCCGGGAGTATCAAACCAAAGACACAAAGCCAACAAGGTAAAAAAATGATACCCTATTTAAGGCTCGATATCCTCAAAAACCATACCCTATCAGGCGATGCATACCTACCTACCCTCTGTCTGATTTCGTTAAAACGTTAAAACATCCATTTACTTACTTACTAATTTCCGGTTATTTGTTCCGAACTCACGATAACTCAAACTTTAATTGCGATTTCCCTTGAAGGTTCGAGTTATCGGGAGTCGACTCTAGTTTCAAATGATCAAAATCCATTATTGGCTTCAACATCGAGGGGAATAAAACAAAAGAAATTCATTTTCAGTCCCTGAATTAATCTGAATGTAATTTCTGCTTATTGAACAATAAAGGCTGAACATACACATATACACTTGATTTTAACTCGAATTATTAGAGTTGCTCTATTGCGCTAATAGAAAAAATAAATAAATAAATAAATAAATAAAGAATAACAATAATAATAAATAAAATTCTCAAATCTGATAAATTATTACAATACGTAAATTAAGACTCTAAAATACTACAAGTTCATTTTTTATGGGTCTCAGTAAAATCAGTTATTGATGCTGGTGTTCTCATACTGTCTACTGCAAATTAGTTAAATAAAGAAAGATGGTACATTTTAAACTGGGTGAACATCTTTCCTGTGGTCGGATGATCATAGTTAACGCGGGGTTAAGAATCAAAATTTTCAAAAAAGGAGAACTAAGAATATGCTAAAAAAATAAAATTAAAATATCAAGATATCACTAAGAGTTAAAAGAAACGCAAAGCTTTCGCAAATTTTTTCTCGTTTCATCGTTTTACTCTTTTGGTGATACAATGAATTAACAAGTGCCTCAGCCAGTTACTTTCTGTTAAGAGGGGTGTAATGACATACGGTATATCCTTTTCAGTATATGAGCAGATTTCATCAAAATATGCAAAGACGCACGAACGTACAAATTAAAGACTCGATTAGTTTAAGTTTTAATATATATTGGAGCTAGTTGTGAATCGAAATTGCATTTAAAAGTGTAAAATGCATTTAAAAATGCATTTAAAAATGTGAAAGATTCAGAACTATGTTCACGAATTTGTAGTGTTCTTATAGACACGTTTTCGCAACTAAACCACGCTCCTCGACGGGCATAATATGTTGCAAATAACAAAATTATAAATTTGTTGGAGTCTAACAAGAGAAATTTATTTTTCACTTGTCACGGAGTTGCAAAACTAAAGTTTGTTAATAATGCAGACCTGTAAACTTTAGAAAACAAAATTGGCGCCATTTATTCGACATAAAAACCTAGTGAGTCATAGCGGAAATGAACACCTTTTGTGAAGCAGTCAAATTAAGGCACCTCATCTCTCAATAACAGCAAGAAAAATGGTAAACTTGACGGAAGGCGAAAACGTTACTGTGATGAAGACACTGCTTTCTGCAAACATACGTGTAAGTTTGTACATTGCGATAGCAGCTGTAAGTATTCTTTTTTCCATCACGGCATCTCTGGGCAACATTCTGATCCTGATTGCTCTTCGTAAAGCGACTTCTATTCATCCGCCGACAAAACTGTTGTTTCAGTGCTTGGCAACCACTGATCTTGACGTTGGTCTCATTTCCCAGCCACTCATGGCCACCCTGATACTCCTGGTTGATAATATTGACTTCAAAATTCGGAAAGTCTTGTCTTCCTATCTCTGGTCTTTATCCATTGCTTTTTGTGGAGTATCGGTTTTCACATCAACTGCCCTGAGTGTTGACAGACTTCTCGCCCTGTTTTTGGGGTTGAGGTACAGACACGTTGAACACTGAAGCGAGCTCGTGCAGTTCTTGCTTGTGGTTGTTTAGCCCTCCTATTGACTGTGTTGGTTTGCAATTTTAAGAGAAAAACCGCCAGGATTATGATTACAATTTGCTTGACACTCTGTGTCATTATCTCGCTGTTTTCTTACACGAGGATCGTCCTTAGACTTTGGCCACATGAGTCCAGTGTACGAGACAATGTCCAGCAAGGACAAGCGAACAAAGGAGGAATTCCACTGAACTTACCGTATTTATTCGAATAAGCGCCCAACCTCGAATTAGTGCCCACCTCGAATAAGCGCCCTTCCTAAAGGCAGAAAAAGTTAATAAGCGCCCAGCCTCGAATAAGCGCCCACCCCCTCCTCCTCCCGATCAAACTCAAATAAGCGCTCACCCCCACCCCACCCACTTGAGTGAATAAATTCTAATAAGAGACCTCCCCGAGGAGGGAGTTTTCTTCAGAGTATTTTGCAGAAACCTTGCTTTGTTACTTCTTCGCGTTTTGTTATTAGCATTTATTGTTTTGTTGCAAAATAAACATACTTCACTTGCTGAAAATGGTGAAAATTTAATAAGCGCCCAGCCTCGAATAAGCGCCCAGGGCGGTTAATCGAATAAATACGGTAGAACAATATAAGAGGACTGTTGTAAGCATAGTTTTAGTTTTATTAATTGCATGCTATTTTCCATTTGTTATCTGTCCTACTTAGATGACCTGAATAGATTTCCCTCTAGCCTTAACTTTCCAGTTTTGAATCTTACTGCAACTCTCCTTTTCGTAAACTCGTCTTTAAACCCGTTTCTGTACTGCTGGAGGATAAAAGAAATAAGACAAGCAGTGAAAGCCACAATCAAAAGGTTTTGCGCCTGTCCAAGTCGAGGAACATCGACTCTATCTACGAAACAGTAAAATATTGGATGTGTAACATCAGCTCATTCTGTCTTGGAAAAGTATTGTCACAAACCAATAACTGAAGCTAATAGCTTGAAAGATGGCTAAAAATCAATAAAAACAATCATGCTTTAAAGGTTTATCGATATTTGAGAAAAAATGATAATAAATAGAAAGTAACTTTTCACCATGTTAGCTATCAGCATCATACTCCTCGTATTAAGAATATGTGCCCATTTGTATCAAAAGTGGTGTTTTTTAAACGTTTGGTTTCTTTACTGCTTAACGTTAATCTGGATTTTTTTGGATTTTGCTTTGGATTTCATTTTATTAACCCTATTCAGACCCTCCTCCCCTTGCTAAAAAGTTGAATAACTTCAAAACCGTTCACGCTATGATCACCAAACTAAGCGATTTTTCCTAAAATTTATCTGGACTGGACAATAGACTCGAAATTAAGATAAGGAGGGAAACAAACCAATGTGTACATTTGAAAGTATTCAATTCGATAACGTCTATACTTAGTAGTTCTTTGCTTATCTGATTCCTAGTCGAATGGGAATTTAAAACATCTTGTCCCCAAGGCGCTTTTCCCTGGCTTTGGAGGTGGGGCGCCCCGCCTCCAAAGCCAGGGAAATTAAAACCCCATTTACACGGCAGAAAATTTTTGGCGCGGCTTGGATGAAAGTGGTACGTGTACCAAAAAGATAGTACTGATTACTCATTTACACGTTCTTTTTTCTACCGTGCTAAACGATGTGAAATTATGATTTGGTACGGGTAAAAGGCTCAACATCTCGGCCAGCGTACTCGATTCTTGTCTAGTGCGCATGCTGCTTCCTCTGTAAAAACATGGCGGACGAAAAGTTCATTAGAATTCTCACGGCCACATGTAGTCTACGCACAAGGAACAAATGAGTGGTCATTGAATACTGGTGCGGTTATTGAATTATTGTGTGGTTATTGAACAGACTGAACTAACGAAAAAGTATTTACCACTTACTTAATGCTACACATTTATATTAAAAAATTCTAACGTATTTGTGGCTATTTCCCCCGCAGCTGCATGTTGTCCACGCTCATCAGTGAACTAACGTGTGGTCATTGAACTACTGTCGTGTTTATTGAACTTTTGGTTTATATTGAAGTAACGATAAAGCTCATCTGTACATGCTCTCCCACATTGGTGCTGACCAAAGGCACGAAGGCTCAGCAGAGAAAGGTTAGCTCGGCACGGCTAAACGTTTACACTGCACACTTTATCCGAGCTGGGCTAGATTTTCAGGATCGCGTACCAGTTTTATCCGTGCTCGGACTACCTCTCGACATGCACATGGTCCGAGCACGGGTGAAATTTTGGTCCAGCACGGATTGGCCAAAGACGTTTACACGACTAAATCTATCCGTGCCGAACCAATTTTTTTGGTACGCGTACTTTTTTCATCCGAGCCGTGCCAAAAATTTTCGGCCGTGTAAATGGGGCTTAAGAGAGTGTCTCTGTAAGAGCGGTCCGGTCGATTTTGCTTGAGACCCAGATTTAGCTCATTTCTTGTGTGTTGTAAGACATTCATGTACCTATACTAAAACCACAATCCGTTTGATCGGATCTCTTTATTTTTCAGAGTTTTACGGAAATTAAATTTCACTCGAGCGAAGGCTTGTCGTGACACTTTTCAAGACTTTAATTTGAGACAACTTTGGAGGACAATTTACAAAAAATTACGGGACTCAGCAAAAATCAAATAGCACAGAAATGTATAATAACTCTATCTTATCCCTCGAGGCGACTTTCGTCAACATCACGTTTCAATCAAGCAAACAGGAAGACTTGAACGACACCTTATCGGTTCGCTTGTCACACACGCGAAAACCGATCAAATTCAAGGTACATTTTTGAAAAAGTGAGGCGTTCTTAACTGATCCAACTAATATTGCTAGGAAGTAGGTGCCATAGAAAAGGTAACTACAGAAAAAAACTTTGCGGCCCGACCTTTACTAATACTTTATAACTCCGTGAACTTACCTAATTTTTGGCAATCTCCAAGTTTTGCCGCCATTTTGAGGGACTTGTCAACATGAAGTGTAGCAGATATAAATGGAGCAGGTAGATCTAAAACCGTCAGAAATACATGCGAAAGCATTCAAATGAACTTCACGTGCGATACAAGGGGCAAAATTTAAAACTGTTTGTTAAACCTACCATTCCTACATCCCCATGCGACCATTTCTTCCAACAATTCAAACACTACAACTAGTGTTCGAATTTCCCTCGTCGATTCCACCATAAGAAATAACCTGTGCCGCCCAAGCTTCGACTCGAATGCGAAGTACGAATCAAACAACATAACTGCTTCATCTTCGAGGCCATATCACGCTGGTATTTTGATTTTCTGATCGACAAGAACGGTGACCAGGAAGTGATCGCCATGTTTACCTCATAAACGTGACCGCTGACCAGCCGCTAAGTGAAAACAGTACGGCGCGGGGTGGTGTGGGTGGCGGACTTGTCGTGATAAGGTATTCCAATACATGCAAAAAAGCTTTAGGACTCTCAGTCTAAACAGTGAAGGCATGCTTCGTGGTACAGACAACTTTTAGTTTATTCTCATAACTTTTTCCTTCAAATTAGAACTGGTATTAATTAATAGAGTTATTTAAATATTTTTAACCGAGGTACCCATATGACCTTTTTAATTGTCCTCAGTGGTATAAAATAAGGTGTCTTTTTCTTCCAGAACCTTTTATTCATGCGTTATTGCACGGAATGAACACTATACTTAGAAGGTTTGTTCTAAATCATTTTTGCTGTTCCCAAGAATGTATGCAAAATCATTGCTTCATACAAAGCTGACTCTAAAATATGATTTTCCGTAACAGTAACCAATTTCATTTACGTATGGTGTTAATAAAACTAGCAATGTACAATTTTTAGCGTTTTCCACTTATAAGCCTGACATACAATTGTCAAGTGAACTATGTTAGTTTCAGCTCATTCCTTGATTCGATGTGACTTTTTATCACTAAACGACAAAGAGTTTTATAAGTAAACCGATTTTTTGGTGTACCACGCTTATTACATTGTATATACAAATACATGCAAAAGGCCGGCTAAATAAGCTCCTCCCCCTGCTCTTAATTTTTTGGGTTACCTTCGCACGATGCCTCTGCACGATTCTTTTGGATTTTACGTCTACAACTCTCCTTTTCCTAAACTCGTCTTTAAACCCGTTTCTGTACTGCTGGAGAATCAAAGAAATACGACAAGCAGTGAAAGCCACAATCACAAGGTTTTGCACCTGTTTAAGTCAAGGAACATCCACTCTATCTACGAATCAGTAAAAATTATTGTGTAACAGCAGCTCATTCTCTCTTGGTAATAGCAGTGTGAACTGAACACCAATAACTGAAGCCAATAACTTGAAAAAAAATCAATAAAAACCACCTTTCTTTAAAGGTTTATCGATATTTGAGATAAAATAAATAAATAAATATTCCGACCCTCCTCCCCCCCCCTCGTTAAAAAGTTGAATAATTTCAAAACCGTTCAAGTTATGACCACCAAACTTATCGACTTTCCCTAAAAAGGTTTATCGATACTGTGAGATAAAATGGTAATAAAAAAAGTAACTTTTCCCCATGTTTTAGCCATCGGAACCATATTCCTCGTATTAAAAATATGGGCCCATTTTATCAAAAGTGGTGTCTTTCAAACTTTTGGTTTCTTCACTGCTTAACGTTAATCTGGAATTTTTTTGAATTCGTGTTGGATTTCATTTTATTAACCCTATTCAGACCCTCCACCCCCCTTCTCGCTAAAAAGTTGAATAACTTCAAAACCGTTCAAGTTATGACCACCAAACTTAACAACTTTTCCTAGAATTGATCTGGACTGGATAATAGGCTCGAAATATGATAAGGAGGGAAACAAACTAATGTGTAAATTAGAAAGTACTCAATTCAATAACGTGTACTTAGTGGTTCTGTGCTTTCCTGATTCCTAGTCGAATTGGAATTTAAAGCAACCTCGTCCCCAGGACACTTTTCCTTGGCTTTGGAGGTTGTTTGTAAGAAGAGGGGAAAACCGGAGTACCCGACGAAAAACCTGGGAGCAAAAGAGAAAACCGATAACAAATTTAACCGACCCATACATGGCGACGACGCAAGGATTTGAACCTGGGCAACATTGGTTGGAAGTGAGTGCTTTCACAACTCTCACCACCCATACCCCTCCCATAAAATGGCGATGGATTTAGAACCTGCCCAACTATAAGATAGATCGCATTTTATGGTAAACATCGATCGGAAAAGCAAAATGATAAATAAAATAAGAATTTATCCATGTGATAAGTTTGGTCCGTTGGTCTAGTTGAGTGATTCTCGCTTATGGTGCGAGAGGTCCCGGGTTCTACTCCAGGACAAGCACCAACCTATTCACCATTTTCACATAGACCAACTTGTTTAGCCCTCAAAATGTTGCATAACCCTTTTTCTTCGATTTCTCTTGGGACGACCGCAATACCCAGGAAAAATTGGAAACAACAGTTATGCAAAATTTCGGGGGTTAAACAAGGTGCATCATGGGCCATGTGAATAATTCACTACTTTATTTTTGTTTTTTTTTTTATCTTTATTTTTTCTATCACTCTTCCTGCCGTAAGGATCAGTTTACTGTTTAACGTTTAAAACTTGGTATGTGAAAATAGCGAATTGTGAATTTAATTTTCAGGCGTTCACCTTTTTTTGTGGCTCGGGGGCTGCCTCTTCCTCTGGCACTTTGTTTTTCGTAAAGTGGCGAGCGAGAAACGCGAGTAACACGCGAGTGACTGGTGACGAAACGTAAGGGACCATGGGAAGGAGAAAAACGAGAAGCCCGATTTCTACTCCCCGCCCTCCTTTGCGCCCAAAGTTTTATCGAGAGAGAGACGTATGGGTACGAGGCTGGCTCGAAGGTTTTTGGTTTTAAGTGGCTACACTAGATTTTGTATTGGCCTGAACCTTCCAATGTTAAGCCTTATAACTACGTTGCCTATTAAAAGATATAGAAAACAAGACGTCAACACAGCTTCATCCGAAAAAAGATACTAAAATTTGTTATTTGCAGTATAGACTGCGAGCAGTCTCTTTTTTTCTTTAGATTTGTTAAGGGAAGTGTCTCTCCCGTTTCGCACCTTCAGTCACGCGCGTGGTCATTTGCGTCTCTTGCCCGTTTTGCTCGACGAGCCGATGCCCGCAGTCTGTTTGCTGTAAAAGATCAAAATCTCTGTGGCAAAATCCGTTAAGTTATAAAAGAAGGGTCGATCGATGGTTAGTCTTTGCCGCCTCAATGGCATGGGTCCCTAAAATCTGCAGTCTACCTAAAGCTGCTGAAACTCAGGAATTTACGGCTTCTCCCAATAGTGACATGTATATAAACACCGTAGACCTGCACCGCTCTAAACCGCTTATTTCACTGGTCCCCTTTAATCTGCACTTCCATTGTTTTCAGGGACAGGGGCATTATTATGTGACAATCCCCATTGTTTTCCTAGCTAATTAAAAACAATCTTTCAAATAGTTACGGGATCGTCATATAAACAACGCTAAGTAAAACAACAAGCTTGCATGCAAACCAGATTCTTGTTCTAGATAACGAGGGAGTTAAATACAACCAGAAAGTACCAGTCACTTGTCTGAAGTTATTAAAAACTCATTTGTGTCCTAAAAGCGAAGAAAAACAGAACAGAGAACTTTCAGGGCAAGAACTTAATTTTTAACCAGTCAATAAGTCAAGGCATATTTCCGGATGACTGGAAATGCGCAAAGGTCACCCCACTTTTTAAACAAGGCGATCGGGACGACTTAAACAATTATCGTCCAATTTCGGTGATCTCAGTTATGGCCAAGGTCTTTGAAAGAATCGTCTATGATCAATTATATGCCTACCTAGAAGAGCACAATATAATCTGTAAATATCAATCAGGCTTTCGCGCTATTCACTCAACTGTTACGGCTCTCCTTGAGGCCACGGACACTTGGGCGTACAATATTGACCGCGGTAAAATCAACGCCGTTGTTTTCTTAGATCTCAAAAAGGCCTTCGACACAGTTGACCATGAGATCCTTTTATCAAAATTAAGCAATTACGGCATATATGGTAACGCGCACCAATGGTTTAAGTCGTATTTAGAGAATCGTACTCAAATGTGCTCCATCAACGGATCGCTCTCTCAAAGCTGTTTAATAAGTTGTGGTGTACCCCAGGGGACGATTTTAGGTCCATTATTATTTCTGTTATACATCAACGATCTTCCAAACTGTCTTTCAAACTGTGAGCCGAGGATGTACGCTGATGACACCCACCTTACGTACGCAGGTGATAATGCAGACAATATTCAGTTGCATCTAAATCAAGATTTAGAAAATGTTCACAATTGGCTGAGAGCAAACAAACTTACTCTAAATATGACTAAAACCGAATTTATGCTTATCGGATCTAGGCAGAGGCTAAGTACTCTCACAGAGTCCCCGACATTTGCAATTAATGATTTTGAAGTTAGCCAGGTCACTACTGCAAAATCACTTGGAGTGACCATCGATGACAGACTTGATTGGAGTGGCCATATCGAGAAAGTAACAAAGAAAGTCGCTTCTGGTATTGGGGCCATAAAACGAATAAGGCACCTTGTCCCTCAGGCGACCTTACAACTAATATATCAAGCTTTAATACAGCCACACTTTGATTATTGCAACATTGTTTGGGGAAACTGTGGGATAACCTTACGGAATAAGGTTCAAAAGCTACAAAACAGAGCAGCCCGTGTTTTGACCTACTCAAGCTATGACGTAGATGCTGGTCACCTTTTCAAACTTCTAGGGTGGAAAAACCTAGCTTGCCAGCAACAATTTCAAAGAGCTACGATGGTTTACAGGTGTCTGCACGGGTTGGCTCCAAACTATCTTAGTTCTAAATTTGAAAGGCGAGAAGTCGCATATAACCTAAGGGACTCTGAAAATAAACTCAATATTCCATTACCGCGCACAAACTATTACAAAAACAGCTTCAGCTATAGTGGCGCCATTCTCTGGAACAGTCTTCCTTGTAACTTAAGGGAAGCAGAGTCCCTTGGGCAATTTAAACGATTACTCAAAGAACTGTAAGGCACGGCATTCGTGGAAAGCAGCTTTTTTATTTAAATATTTTTATTATATTAGTATTAGGCATTTTTAAAGCTGACGAATTTTGTACCGTGAATAAATAAAGATTATCTATCTATCTATCTATCTAACTCTACGTATACCATGTGCGGTAGAGAACTGTAAAGTACTATGCTGAGATTGTACGTCAACCAAAACTGTTTGTTGATTTAGACTTCCTACAATTCCTTACTTGGAAAAGCGCTAACAGCAAGTAGCTGTTTCCATTGAGGTTTGGCGTGAAAGCATTTCACCGTTTCGGTATGCGGGTACATTTTGTCCTTCACAACTTATCAATCGGATTCATCCAATCCGGTGAGCTTCCGTGATTTTGAAAACACTTTTAAGACCGCATGCACGCACCCTGAGTGCTTCCGATCCTTAACGACCAATCCCAGTAAAGTGAGAGTTTGGTGGCTGACAGTCTTTCACGGCTACGCTGCTCCTTTTTCTTTGAGCTTTTTCCCAGTCCCTTGGGTTTAAGTTCGTTTCGATTGAAACTGAAAATAATAATTATTTTTTAAATATCTTTGTTTATATTTACTGTGACTTTTTGACAATTTTTTGTCTTGATATATAATGTATACTTACTGATTACGTCCTTACGACCTTGGCGTTTGGGTGCCATCAGTTCGAGCCAAAACGTGACGTCACCACACGAAGAGACCCACGTACCCCTCAGCGTTTTTGGCGAAATTTGTGTCGACAGCCAGCGCGTCGAGTCTGCCGACTGAGCTAACGGACCTTGGCGTTATCAGCACCACGCTCTGCCGACTGAGCTAACGGACCAAGCTCACGCCGTTTAGCAATTTTGACCAGTAACTTTATAATCCACTGATTGAAATTCAAATGAAAGGCACGTTAAGAATAATTGTACTCTAAAATTCGGTCAAAATCTTCTAATAGGCTCAACTCTTTTTCGGTTGTTTAGATATGGCATTGGAGCTTAGAATGAACAACGTCGGCGACGGCTACGTGCAAAGTTGTTGTTTTGCTAATATAAACCAATTCGTTTTTTTGCCGTTCTCGTTGTCGTCGCCGTCGTCGTTGCCTAAGCTCCCTTTTCTTTTACTGCGTGGGGAAGAGAGTGGAAGAGAAACGGAGTTTGGGTTTTCTTGTGGCTGTATTTTACAAATCCTTTTTTGACCAAGCTTGTTCGGTCAAGATGCTTGGATGTTGGCCTCGTTCTTTTTTGCGTTTTTATTGTCCTCGACTGTGTTCGTCTCGGCCCATAAAAATGCAATAAAAGATTTGCCACTATAATTCAGCAATCTTGACCTCACGCTTGGTCAATAACGCATGTGGCATCTTAACTCTCAGCAAAATAACATGTTTACTAAAACAGGTTTACCAACAAAAATTGTTCAAAAATGCCTTTTTTGTGTAGTGTCCAAGTATTGATATGGATTTCCTTTTTACCAATTTCTAGTCAACTAGACTGAAAAAGTTGACATTGTTAGACCGTTTTTAACAGGAGAGCTTTTTTAAAGGTGATGAGTTTTTGGCATAAATGTAAAACTAGAGAGCCAATCCCGTCGTGTTTCATCAAACGTAGGCAATTTCAAAAAAGAACGGCGCTTGACGAGAAATAAAAAAAAAACGGAAGTTTAATTGTTTTTTCAACCGAAGCGACGGCCGCAAATGCAGTACATCTATGTTCGCACTGGAGAAATCTAGAGATGGTAGAGCTTTTGCACCTGGGTTCACGTGACCTATCTCATGCCAAAATTTATGGACACAACATTAAAAAAATATATAGATGGAAAGAGAATTGAAAATATCATAGGCCTATCAATTTTGAGGCTTTTAATTTCTCAACAGCGAGACTCGCTGACGGTTTAAATAATGAATAAATACTATCTGGTCTATCTGTACACTGTACAAAGGGAAACATCGCTCACGCGTGTGCCTTAATTGCAAACTAGGAAATAGGAAATTTGCATATGGTCACCTTTTCAGTGCAAATCAACGCCCGCCCTGCAGCTAATCATTTTCTCTTATTATAGCGTAACTGACCTATAAACCCTATTCCTGATCAGTTATAGTTTTTACGTATTTTTTTTTAAGCGAGTAGTTGAATTTATCATTATAGCGCATGTAGGTCGTCCAATAAATAGATGGTTTTCCAATATCTTAAGATCTCTTAATAACTTCCTGTTTAGCTGGTATTGTTCCCAAATTAGAATGTTTGGCAAGGTCGTGCGCCAAGTAAGCAAGCAATTAATTGAGGGAAATTAAGGTCTGTAACCTGACAAAATGTTATCGAAGCAATTCGAGTAATATGAATAGAATACAGTTGAATAGAATACAGTTGACTCCCGATAATTCAGTGCAAACTTTATGAATTAACAGTGTATCAAGAGCAGCTGGTCATACCTTCCTTCCTTAGACGAAGATAAGACGTTTGCGCCTCCATGATTTAAACTCGAAAACAATGACAAGTTCTGAAGAAGTGAACATCACAATCACGCTGACCCAAGTAATCCCACTGCAAACAGACGTGGCTGTATTTCTGTCAGCTTTGAACATCTTTCTTGCTATCACAGGTTCCCTTGGCAATGTCTTGATCCTGAATGTTCTCCCCAAAACTTCTCTTCACTCACAAACAAAACTGCTATTTGGAAACTTAGCGGTGACTGATCTCTGCGTTGGACTTATATCGCAGCCTCTTTTCGTAACAATTCGGCTTAGCGCCGTTATAAAGATGGACTTAGAAATCCAGTACTACCTTATGAACATTGCAAATGCCTTCGATTTCATTTTGTGTGGAGTTTCCATCCTCACCTTAAGTGCAATAAGTGTCGATAGACTTCTTGCTCTTTTCCTGGGAATAAGATACAGAGCGATTGTAAATTTAAGGCACACTCGAGCTCTTCTGTCATGTTTTTGGTTAAGTGGGATTTCTGGTGTATTACTGAGCTTGTTTACGAGCTTTAGTGTCGCTTCTATAGTAGGCGTCATTTTTGTAATCATTTCTACAGTCATCTCGATTTTTTGTTACACGAAGATCTTTATGACACTCAGACAAAACGAAACTTAAGTACAAAATCTAGGACAACAGAGACGAATGGGAATGTCACCTAATATAGGGAGATACAAAAAGACAGTTTGGAGCATTGCTTGGGTGCAGTTGGCATTAATCGCTCTGCTATAGTGATGAAGATAAAGCATTCGAGTGGTACGACAGCGAACACTATTTGGATATTTACATTCAGTCTGATTTACGTAAACTCTTCACTGAACCCAATTCTCTACTGTTGGCGGATCAAAGACGCTCAAGGTGAGACAGATAGAGCGACAGTTTTTTAAAGTGGCTATGTCACGAGGATATTGCTCTTTTAGGTCAGTTCTGTGCTGACCTTATCACTAAGTGCCTTTAACCATATCCAAAATGTTCCATTAGAGCCGGATTTAATATATAATTTGAAGATGTCAAATATATTTCATTGGGAAGCACTAACCATATAAAATATTTATTCGATTAACCACCCATGGCGCTTATTACTTTTTAATTTGGACCTTGAGAGTGGACGCTTACTCTAAGTGGGCGTTTATTCAAGGCTGGGCGCTTATTAAATTTTCACCGTTTTCAGCAAGTGTAGTATGAGTCTAGTATGTTTATTTTGCGACAAAACAATAAATGGTAATAACGAAACGCGAAGATGTAACAAAGCAAGGTTTCTGTAAACTTCCCCTACTCTGAAGAAAACTTCGTCTTCGGGGAAGTCTCTTTATATTAGTACTTATTCAATTTCAATCTCATGGCACCCAAGAGGGTGGGGTGGGGGTGGGCGATCAAGGCTGGCCGCTTGTTAACTTTTTCTGCCTTTAGGATGGGTGCTTATTCGAGGTGGGCGCTAATTCGAGGTTGGGCGCTTATTCGAATAAATACGGTAATTGTTTGGTTAGCCTGTACACAGACGTTTTATTTTCTTTTCGTTCATTTCGAGTAGGGCAAAATGTTGGCTTAGGGGAGTGGTAGGTGGGCCGTTTCCCAGAAACGTAAAATGATCCACAGTGGATTAGTTTCAGTGTCTAAATACAGACTTAAATAAGAAAACTGGGCTATTATTTTGGAATAAAATTGATGCAAAGACACGTTTAGGCTTAAAGATAGCGAATAGCGTGATTTATCCCCTTTAAAGAGAAGTGTATGGTTGAAATAAAACGTTATGTAATATCAGATATCCCTTAAATCTAGTATCAAGGTCATTGTGAGGGTTTCCAGTATAATATTCAATAGCTTTTTAAATTCTCTCTTTACGTACCGTTTAAAAACGAGCAGAAGTGTATTATCAGGTTTAAAAACTACGACTGCGATTTTTTTTTTTTAACGGTGAGCGGCTTCATAACCTCTATAAGTCAACTCATTCTTGCACTAATTAGTAGATTTGGGTTATTTCGGTCTAAAAACAAAACGTTAAAGTGTAGCCGGCACATTCAGTTGTCCGCTTTATCAGATATACTACAATCATAAACATTAATTTCTTCATTTTCTTTATGAATCATTAAAAAATGAGTTTTTATCTAGGTTTTGAACTGGTTTTAAAGCATCATTAAACAAACCTACCAAACTCAAAACGGACGCGTATATCTAAAACATTAGACACTAGCTTTAAATTAAAGACGAGAGCGGTCAACGAAAAAATACCGGAGAAGGTGCATTGAATTTTAAAGGGCTAATATCCAAACAATTTAAATTAGCAAAAGGACTTTGCAATGTCATCAACATCTGCTACTTTATTTGCTGTTTTGAAGGAACCTGGGAACGAGGTTGGGAACATTACACTCGTAGGCGTTCCAAATATGACCATAAGTGCAGCTTGAATTTCATGCTTTCTTATATCTATATCTTTCTATCTGTCTCCATGCTTATTGTTGTTATTGTTACACTCCGTGGGTTCAGCGGATAAAACGTTCTGCGATAATGACAAGTTTCTACTGTTTTTCCTCCGATACACACTCGTCCGATCCGCTCTCACGCTCGACAAGCCCAAATATGGCACCCCCCGTTTTTAGAAAGCAGCATGCAGCATCACACCACACTGAAATGACTCCTGGGTTCAACCTTTCACAGTTTTACACTACACTACGTCACGCAATGACCCATTACACTGCCCCCCTCCTAGACAAATTGTTCGTCTTGATTAATAGTGATTTATAACAACAACAAACACAGGTGTCTAAACTGTTCGAGTGTTCCGAAAACAAACATTTTAACTTCATGCTCACCGAGATATGATAATTTAGTATGAGAAAATAGAAGGGATTCCCGTCACGGATAAAAAAGATAAAAAGATAAGTAATGAGTTGGTTTAATTATTGGCTTGCATTAAATCTATGTAAAAAAGATATTTTTTTTTAATAGTAAGTAGATTTAATGCGTAGCATTTCTTGATTTTTTGGCAAAGGAAGAAGAAGCACGAGAATTGATTAAAAATCGTGAGTTAAACCTCTATGTATCACTCGATCGCTTGTCTCACCGTTCCAAAATTATCATATCCCGGTGAGCATTCGGAAGTCCGCCAAGCGCGGTCATTGCACGCGAGCTGAACAAGAACGTTGCATCATGACAGACTAGAAACAATAGAAAACTCCCAAAGCACAAACTCAGCCAAAACGCTAAAAATCTTCAATGTTTTCTCAAGTTCGGGCTTACAGAAAATAATGTCACAGTCTATCACCGACCATGAAATTCACAACCGGGGTAGTTAGTTAATCAATTGTGGCCCTGAAAAAAATTGAGGGAAAAAAAACAACGAATTTTCAGAAAAATGCTTTTTTGTGAGAAGGACTCTTAAACTCTGACAAACGTCAACAAATTATAGCTAAAAATAATTTATATATGTTTGCATTGTTCGAAATCGCGCGCATTTACCACGGCCCTAAATCTGTTATAAAGATCCCCAAAATAAAGGGATAAATCTCATAGTTTATTAGATATAGTCATGTGAAGTTTGCTTATCACTTTCAAATAATTTAGGACATTTTATGACCTAAATTTTGAAACCGCTGAATTTCTCGTATTGGGTCTTTGCGATTTTGGCGAAACTCTGTTTAGGCACTAATTCGCACTATATTTAGCCTGTTCCAGGCGTTCAAATGGTGGGGAGCGGGCGAAAATTATGGCGCCGGCGAAAAATTGACGTTTCTGTTTGCGCTCGATTTAACTTGCTCTCCACTATCTAAACGCCTGGGACAGGCTACACTATATGTAGCCGAGAGATGTTCACGAAAAAATGCCGGCAACCACAGAATTTCGACTCAGACCCCAGGGAGAAGTGGCACTATAATCACGTGACATTTACTTCGATCGCCAACAATTTTATGCTGTATTGTAAATTAATCTATATGTTATCCATGCTATATGTGAGACTTATTACTATCAAAGAAAAGGTGGGGATACCAGAGAGCTTCAAAGTAGGATGGTACCCCCAATAACTGGGTCGAGTCACCTTAATTGCAAATTAGCTAGGAAATAGGAAATTTGCATATGGTCACCTTTTCAGTACAAATCAACGCCGGCCCTGCAGCTAAGCATTTTCTCTTATTATAGCGTAACTGATCTAACAAACCTTTTCCTGATCACTTGTCGGTTTTTACGTTTATTTTTTCCTAAGCGCGTTGCTGAATTTATCATCATAGCGCGAACAGAGAAGTCGAGGACTCATAGACTTTATTAAACAAGCCTGCCAAGTGGGTCGTCTATCAAACAGATGGTACTCGTAATTTTAAAAGCAATTTCTTAAGATCTCTTAATAACTTCCTTTTCAGCTGGTATTTCGATGATATTGTTCCCGGGCCAAGGTTGTGCGCCAAATAATTAAAGCAAGCAATTAATTAAGGGAAATTAAGGTCTGTAACCTGTTAAAATGTTATCGAAACAATTCCAGGAATACGTCGGCGTCTGACATATAATGTCCTAAAATGTTCTGCAATTGGTGTAGGATTTAATGAAGCCGAAGCCAATTGTGGAATTGCACACATTTTAGGTATCCTACTGATGAACAGTTACACGACAAATACATATTATTTTTAGCAACTACTATAATTTGCAGTCTGTCCACTTTGAATATAATCTTCACTTTGAATAGACACAGTTGACTCCCGAGAACTCGAACCTCCCACTAACTCGAAGTAATTTTTATTTCCCTTCTGGACATCATTTTACCCTCGATGACTCGAACTATGTCAAAATAGTGGTAGAGGGTCAGAATTAACCCCCGTTGGTGGATAGGTAAGGATAGTTTTGGGATAGTCTATGACGTCACCCATTATTTTCATTCCTTACAAATCGCTGTGTATTTGACTCTTTTTGTCATTGTTTTTAATAAAGTTTTAAAAACGGTATCTCTCTTGTGGTTTTATTGCTAGCAATTATTAGTCGCGTGTTTTAATCGATCCTTGTTAAGTTATTTAAAATTGTTTATATAATAATACGTCAAGGTGCTCCCTTGGGTCTTTCCTGTAGAGCTAATTTGTATTCAACTTTGGGCTTGCGAACTCGCATAATTAACTGACTAACGGTGCGTGAAACGCTGAGACTGTAATAGTTTTTCATTTCCTGGAGATAGATAGGAGAAAACGTCAGACAAAATTGAAATAGAGAGTTTTCAGTTCTACTTCGTGTATGTGTTTTGTTTATATATATCCGAGTTTTAGCGCGAAATAAGATATAGTAAGCCGTTTCTCGCGTTGCTAGGTGATCGCTTCTCTTATTCCTATTTTTGCCTTTTAATAGACGTTCAAACCAGGTTCAAGTTACTTGACGGGCAAGCCTAGGCAAGCCTATTGTTCCTATTGTAGTATTCGCTCATCAGTAAAGCTATACCGAATTAGTATACAGGAAGATAGTTATTTATAGTACGGAGGAAGGTATTTTTTCCCCAGGCTATCACAATGGGTGACGTCATAGACTATCCCTAAATTAAACTATCCTTTCCTATCCACCAACGGGGGTTAATTCTGACCCTCGAAATACGTTTTAAGTGCCAGTTGTAAACCAACTTTACTTCATCCAAGTCATGGAATTTGAAGAGTTCCTCTTAAAACAAAATATGCATTTAAAAATGCAAAAAAAACAAAACTTTGTTCACGAATTTGTGACGTTCTCACGATGCACATTTCAGAAAAAAATAATTAAATAATAAATAAAAAACCTCTCAGTTTTCAGATGAGTTCTCTCTAATTGAACATGTTGACTTAGGGAGTAAATTGACTGAAAACATATGACGTTTGCCCGACTAAAACTACCGTCTACCAGACATGGTAATATGTTGCAACTCGTAATTAATTTATAAATTTTATTGATTGGAGTCTAGCGAAACATTTGTTAATGTCATTGTAGACCTGTCAAATTACTTTATGTTTGTTACCACACGTTTCTGATAGGTGTGTTAAATAAAAAAACGCAATTTATACTACATAAAAACTTTGTGTGTCATAGCGAAAAAGAACACTTTTTGTGACGCAGTCAAAGTAAGGCACCTCGTCTCTACATTACAGCAAGAAGAATGGTAAACTTGACGGAAGGCGGAAACGTCACTGTGATGAAGACACTGCTTCCTGCAAACATACATGTAGGTTTATACATTGCGTTAACAGCTGTAAATATTGTTGTGTCCATCACGGCATCTCTGGGCAACATTTTGATCCTGGTTGCTCTTCGCAAAGTGACTTCTATTCATCCGCCGACAAAACTGTTGTTTCAATGCTTGGCTATCACTGATCTTGGCGTTGGTCTCATTTCCCAGCCACTCATGGCCACCCTGATGCTCATGGCTGATAATATTGACATCAAAATTTGGAAGATATGTTTAAAACTGCTTTCGTCTTTATCCATTCCTTTTTGTGGAGTATCAGTTTTTGCATCAACTGCCCTGAGTGTGGACAGACTTCTCGCCCTGGTTTTGGGGTTAAGGTACAGACACAAAAAACCGCCAAAATTATAATTACAATTTGCTTGACACTTTGTCTCATTATCTCGCTGTTCTCTTACACGAAGATCGTCCTTAAACTTCGGCAACATCAGTCCAGCGTACGAGACAATGTCCAGCAAAGAAGAACGAACGCAGGAGGAATTCCACTGAACCTAGATCGATATAAGAGGATTGTTGTAAGCATAGCTTTGGTGCAACAGGCATTAGTTATATGCTATTTTCCATTTCTTATTTTCCACATTGTGACTCATCTGAAGGACATTCACCCTGGCCATTATTTACTTTGGTATTTTCATACTTCCACTCTCATTTTCCTTAACTCGTCTTTAAATCCGTTTCTGTACTGCTGGAGGATCAAAGAAATTCGACAAGCAGTGAAAGCCACAATCACAGGTTTATGCGCCTGTCTAAGTCGAGGAACGTCGACTCTATCTACGAATCATTAAAAACATTCAATGTATAACAGCAGCTCATTCTCTCTTGGTAATAGTAGTGTCAAAACCCTGTGACTGAAGCTAATAATTTGAAAGATGGATAAAAATCAATAAAAACAATCATTCTTTAAAGGTTTATCGATATAAATAAAACTAAAGGAAACTTTTAACCATGTTTTAGCTGCCAGCACCATATTCCTCTTATTAAGAATACTGTGCCCATTTGATTAAAAGTGGTGTTTTCCAAACTTTTGGTTTCTTTACTGGTCAACGTTCACTGGAATTTATGTTATTTTATTAACCCTATACAGACTGGCACCTCTCTCACCCCCCGCCCTTCGCTGAAAAGTTGAATACCTTCGCATTCAATCTATGACCACCAATCTCAGCAACTTTTCCTAACATTTATCTGGACTGGATAATAGACTCGAAATAAGACAAGGAGGGAAACAAACCAAGGTGTACATTTGAAAGCATTCAATTCGATAACGTCTACTCAGTGGCTCTTAGCTTATCTGATTCCTGGTCGAATTGGAATTTGAAAATGTTGGTTTTTAAGGAGAGGGGAAAACCGGAGTACCCGAAGAAAAACCTCTGGGAGCAAAGTAGAGAACCAACAACAAACTCTGAACCAACCCACACATAGCGTCGACGCCAGGATTTGAACTCAGGCCACATCGGCGGGAGGCGGCGAGTGTTCTCACCACTGCGCCATCCTTACCCCTCCCTTGAAATGGCGATAGATTTTTAACCTGCCCAAAACTTAACAAAGAAATTTTTCAAAAAGTGGTACTTGAATGTCAGA